GGGGAGAGTGTTCTCAAAGCACCCCCCTGGCACTGATTGCTGCTCACACAGGACAAATATGGAAATGAGACAGTGTAACCATTCTGGTGTGCTCCTTGCTGGTACCACTCTTAGGTCACAGTGAACTGTCCTAACAATATGTTCAAGGTAACCATTCTAATTACTTAGTGTGCTGTGTTTTTCATTCTGTGACCAAAGAGAACTATTTGCATATTATTTCACAGTAAAAAGCATGCTGTTACTCTGGTAGTACTTTTATAAGTAACTTGTTTGTTGTCACTTATTAATATGCTTTTCAGTTTTTTGCCTCTCAATGTAGACGAGTTGTTCTTCTTGTGCTCTACACAGAATAAAATTGATGATTTATAGAAGCAAATAAAATTAATGAGAGCATAGAAACCTTGTACATTTAACATTTTGTGTGAATATGGTCTTTTGCAAAACGGCATGTTTTCTGGAGAAGGATAAAAGGTAAACAAAGCCATTACAGGTGATTCTCACCTTGGAACACCTGTGCAGTTGTTGTATAATTAATTTTCCAACATATCCATATTTTTAAAGTAACCCACTATTAGGAATAATGAACTTGTCTGCTCTGCCACCTGAAATGAGAGCTTTGCTGATACCAACTAAATCGTAATCTGAAGGAGCTCCTAAAACATCCGTTCTTATCCTGTTACAGAAGAAAACTTACTCTACATATAGCTTCCATATGGGAATTTTCAGTAGGGGTGCACTGATAGAGATTTTGGGGGCCAATACCGATAGCTGATTTTTAAGGAGGCATATTGGCCGATACTGATCCAATTTCTGATACAGCTGAATACAGCTGATACAGCTGCATACAGCATACAGTCTGTTGTGGTGAAAGGGGAGGGGAGAGGGCAGGGGGCAAGTACTCCTTGCCAGGGGGCAACACCCCCCCCCCCCCCCCCCCCCCTTGGTGCAGGAGGAGTGGGATAGGGGCTGGGGCAAGCACTGCCAAGCCAGGGTGTGATGGGCATGGGACAGAGCCACAGCTTGTCCAAGAAGCACGGTGGGAAGTGTGTGCCCTCAGATCTGCACAGGGCAGGGAAGAGCAGGCTGTAGCTGTGGGCTGGGGCTGGGGGCCATGCTTCACTCAGGGTGGCCGGCGGCCATGCTGGTGTCAGACAAGCACCTGGCATCAGAAGAGACAAGTTTATTATTCTCAATAGTTGGTTAGTTAAAAAACAAAACAACACACCAGTGGCTGGACATTCATACTGTAAACCTGCATATCTGAGTATGCTGTTTGTTTTTCCAGAATTGCTCAGAAACACACGATTCTAACCAAATTGCTCACCCCCTTGTGCATCTGCTCTTGACACTTTTAGGTTTATAGATACATAAAATGCTTTGCTATAAATGTTTCACTTACATGTCCTCCTACTCTCCTATTTTTCTTTTAATATTCTCACAGTTGTAACCGCTAAATAAAACCCTTTGCTTTTCTTTGCATCTCTGCATATACAGCCAGTCTGCATAGTAAACCAACCTTTATATGTCTATAAAATGGCATCAGTGAAATTTTTTAACTCCAATGAAATCGATTAAGTGATCATTTCAGATTAAAACCCAATAAGATTGCCTAGAAGTAGAGGTCAAGTATAATTCACCTTAAAGATACAGGGGATGCTGATTTAAAAAGTGGAGGCTTCCTGACAGATGTGTGGTAGACATCCTTAACAGAGGGGCAGTGATCTCATTGAACATCTGGGGCAGTGAGGAGGGTATGCAGACCACTGCAGAAGTGGGGAGGGTAGGGGAAGTCTTACCAGGATCTCTGCATACTGAAGGCAGCTGATACAAGAGGGGGAGGAGGGGGGGATGCTACTGCTGCCGCCGTTGTAGCAGCATCAGTTTGGGTGGCAGAAGCCCCATGGTGTGGGCTCCCTGGGAGCCAGCCCTGGTGCCCTGTTCTGTCCCCTCCACCCACATATACGATATTGGGCACAGGGTTGTACCTACTTTGACAAAAATGTCCTAGCTATATTCTGAAAATAGGTTTCAGGGTCTTTTGAGAGTTCTAGTAATGATTACATCTAGACAGTCTGGAGATATTAATAGATGTTATTCATATTCTATGTCGGGGCTTTTGCTTCTGGCTAAAAAAGTTGGATAGTCAAGTGAAAATTAAAAATAATGATAAAAAAGCAGAAACAAAATGTTATTTATTCTCAGAGAATCAAGGTTATTTTAAATCTTGGATAAATGTTCAGTGAGATATTGTTTTAGCTAAACGTTTAAGGTAAAGTCCTGTCCTGTTACAGTCACCAGGTATTTTCCATTGACTGCTGTATAGCCAGAATTTCACTCCATCTTTCATTTCTGATACGTTGTAGTGACATTGTATTTTTGGACTTAATCTTCTCGCCTGGTTCATCATAATTTTATTCCCCAAGTACTTTTTGAAAATATTTCCAGAGACAGATTTATTAATGAGTCAAGAATTGTTCTGAATGAAAATGGTATAAGAAGAGTACTCTGAGTTGTAATGATCTCTTAGTAGGTAGATTTTTTTCTTCTTCTTTCAGACAGACAACAACATGAAAATGAGAGGTGAATCACAGGATTTTCTTAGTGCTGTGTTGGCATAAGTTTGTAGTGATGACCCACATATATGAAATGGCATTTCAGTTTTATGCTAGTTAGAAACAGTTTGTAATGTTCTTTGAGAGTTTAGGATAAAAGAATGCTAAACCCTGACTTTGGGTACATAGATGATTTAGGCTGGGTACAGACATTATACTTGATGTGCATTAAGTGCACAGGAAGTGCTTTAAAGCCATAACAGAACAGATGTTCATGGCACTTAAAGTGCTTTAAAAATGGCAGATCCCACTCTGAGTTAACTTTTGATGGATGTGTTATTAAATTAAAGCACTTTAGGGCTCTTTTTTTGAATATCTGTACCACATCTATCATACTATGTAGGTCGCATTCTGCTGCCATCCGGTGAAAAGCTGGCAGGGTAGACCCATGCTGGAACTGCTGTCTGCAGCTGTCAAGAGGCTGGGGTGAAGTGAGGAAGGGAACCCCCTGCCATGTGGACCCGGCTCAGCTTCCCCCACCCAGAGAACCCAGCCAGCAAGCTGTGGGGGACCCCAGTCCCTGTCCCCCCTTTTCCCCCCAGCCTCTGCTGATAGTTGCCAGCTGGCAAGGTAGAGGGCAGAGTTGTCTTCAGCAGCCTCCTGGGAGGCATTCCGGAGCGTCCTATCTGCTTGCCTTGGCCAGTGCAGGCAGGTATTGAGTCCCTCTCCCCCCCCCGCCCCTCCCAACCAAATGGCGAATGTCTGTTTGGTTCATTCCTGATCTAATTTATATCACCTTAAGTACAGTGTATGAGCACTTTCACCAGGGGCTTTTTGAATGCCTGTACTTAGCCCTAGTGAAGAAATGGACATGAAAAATTGACTGTTCTTGCTGAAAACAACAAGATAGACACTTTCCATGTATGTCTGGTCCCAGCAACATCCTCTATTCTCTTTCAGTCCTATATGTGTCTTATGGGAGCTCTTTTGCCCAGAATATGCACTGGCATCAGAATGCATGTTTTTTTTATGGATGCTGACACAGCATGAAATATTATGCTGCCTTTCCTTTAGGGTTGAAAGTCCAGTTTCTGCATTACCTTTAAGCTCTGTCAAAGGAATTATTCTTTGTTTACACTGGTATAAAGGAGAGCAGAATTTATTCCAGCTTCTTGTATTGTAAAGTTGTTCTTCTATAAGCAGTGTGGTGCTTAGATTGCATTTTAATGTCAAAGTTTCATGTGACTATAAATACTTCCTTTCTTTCTGTCTCTTTTTTAAACCTAGGACACAAAAATAGCTTCACTTGAGCGCAATATAAGGGATCTCGAAGATGAAATACAGATGTTAAAGACAAATGGAGTTCTGAACACAGAGGACCGTGAGGAAGAGATCAAACAAATAGAGGTTTACAAGAGTCACTCGAAGTTCATGAAAAATAAGGTACTGTCAAATAATAAATAGTTTAGTGGCATTAAAATAATGTGAACAGCAGTTTTAATTGGCCTCTTTTCAACTTAAGTAATTCTCTGAAAGTTTGTTATAAGTAAAACTATAACAAGCGATATTGAAAGATTTGCTTCAGGGCATTTCTTTTTTTTTTATAAATAAAGGCATTTTAAGTACTGAGTCGGGAAAGGTAGGTAGGAGTCAAATTCACTACATGTCCTCAGCAAACATAAATTGATTAATAGACAACATTTTTTAATGTTTTCAACTATGTTCCCCTATGAGTTCGTCTACCCTATTTCATAGTTTGTCTTTTTATTTTCTTTCTTTCTGTCCTCTGTGACTCAGCGTATTCTTTTTTTTTAGGGTGCAAAGAGCATTTATAGATGTACTCTCAGAGGCGGGGGAGGGGGAGATAGTTTATTTAGGGTGACTCCGAAAGCTGCTCTAATTCAAGCACTTGGAGCGTCACGTGTATCAGTGTGTCTACACTGAAAAATGGTGGTGGGGGTGCTTTAACTAAAGCTCGTTGGATGAGCTTTTATTTAAAGCACCCCGCCACCATTTTTCAGCGTGGGATGCACTGATACACATGACATGAGTCTCAATTAATCGAGTCTGCTCCGATGCATTGTAATTACAGCGCATTGGAGCAGCCTCATGTACATGTACAGGTGCCTAAAGAATGCTAAATGGTTTTCCATTCTGACCCATGGTATTTTCAGGACAATTTGTAACTTAAGTTTCTCAAGACCTTACCATTATGACTGGCACCCATAACATAACTAGGGCTGGGGAAAAGGACTATGTGCCCCAAGTGTCAATTTAGAGGAGATACCAGCAGCATCCTTGGCATGTCTGGTCCCTCTCTCCAGCACGCAACAACATCTCTGCCCAGGGTACCAAAACTGCTAGTTATGCCTCTGGTTAGTACCCCTGCAAGCTGTCATTTCCACTGTGACTTGTACACTAATGCAGTATTTTTAAAAAACTTTTCTTTTTGTGGTTTGCACTGACATTGCTTTTCAGCTGAGGATCTCAAATATTTTAAAGGGTGGTAGATAAAGTGGTCAGATGAATTGGCCAGGATCGTACAGCAAGTTTAGTCACAAAGTTAAGAATACAGTCCTATGTCAAGCTATTAGACTCACTGGACAATACCGTTTCTTAATTTTAAAATGTATCAGACTGAAGTTGTCATCCCAGCTTACTTTTTACGTCATTTAATTTATATTTGTACAGGTGCTCTATAAGTAAAGTGTATGCCAAACTTAGTTGGGGGAGTTGTTATTTTAAGATTAGTTTTCTGATTTTTAATTTTTTTGTAAACTGTCTGAACATTTTAAAGTCGTTTTTAAAAGCTGCAGTCTATTCTTGGTAATATCCAGTGTACCCGTTCTGATTTTTTCCCTGTATTTCTACAGTAGCAAGGTATAAAAAGGCTTTCTGTAATGTAGGGGTAGGTCAGCCAAATGTTTTAAAGTGGAAAAACTGGGGGACAGATAATTGAGGATGGGGGAATTAGACATATATAGGGATCACTTTTGGGGGCACAAGGAGGAAAACATTTTATTATAAGATCCCTTAAGATGCAAAGGAACATGCAATGACAGTAGCATTAGGGATGCTGAAGATAAAGGCCAGCCATTTGGCCTTCTGCAAGGAAGAGGAGACTATCATAATGCTAGAGTACATGTAGGTAAAAATTCTATAATAATTGTGATCATTGGAAAGCTTGACATGCATTTTTAGTTTGCTTGATTTCTATTTTAATCCTTCCCACTCAAAATTTAATTTTTGTGAAATTCTGTGGGACTAATTGTTGTTAGCTGAATTAAAAATTAGAAAAGCTATTTTTATATTGAAATTTGTATATATGGACTTGGAAAATTACTGCCCAAGGAAATGTTGCTGCTGCTACTTTCTTAGAGCCTGTATGGCTGGAGGAATGAGAACATGGGTAGGCAATAGTGGGGGCCTACAGGCTCTCTTTATGGCTACTTACATCACTGATATATTAACAGTACTTTGCACTTATATAGCATGTTCAGTTCAGGTATGCGACAGCCTTATGAAGTAGGTAAACACCATCATCCTTATTTTGTAAGTTGATAAGCTAAGGGTCATAATGATTATGTGTGTTGTTTAAGGTCACCAAATTGACATTGTCAGCAGAATTAAAATTCAAGGTTCCTTGATCTCCAGATTTCTCAATAAGTTACTAGATTATAGTATCTTTTAGGGCCTTCTTACATGTTACACTATGAGCTGCACAAATGTTGATCAGTGTTGCTACATGTTAATTTTAGGCAGCTTCTAGATCTCTTAACCCCTGGATTGTCCACACATTTACAGCTGAAACTAATTTTAAGCATGCTTCAGGTTGCTTAAAGTTACAGTACTCTAGGGCAGGTTTATCTCTGATTTGTGTTACCCAGCTCATGTTCCATTAATGTGTGTGGCCACTCCCCACAGATGAGCCACCCAAACTGTAGTCCTCTAGCATCCCAGAATGCAGTGTCCCCTCCCCCATCCCCGTGTTCTGTATGGACAAACTTCCAGCCCCTGAACTGTACTGGCGAGGAGGTGGTTTTGGCACCAAGCCAACTCGTCGTCTTGCCCCCAGGAGTGTGATCTCCCCATCCTCAGGGGTGCAACCCCATGCAAATAGCCTGCAGAGCATGTCAGCTGGCCAGGTCACAAAGCACGGACAGGTCCCGGAGTGCAGTGTAGAGGGGATGGAAGGGGAACAAGGTAGGGGGCCAGATCGGTTATCCATGAGTTAGGTCTTCCTTCCCAATGCAAGTGTTTTTCCTCACTGCTCCCTCCTTCCAGCTACTGTGGGAAGCACAACCAGCACCCCCTATGCCCCAATCCCAATTCCAGTTTCTTAAAACATGAGACCTTCTTCAATGTACTTCCTCTTTATTTATTCTTAAATTATTTTTTTACTTCTTTTTATTTTATCTTTCAGTAGTGACTTTCTTCATTTCACCACCCTTCCCTCATCTGTGTTTTCTTGCCACCTCCCATTTCATTACCCACCTCTATCCCATTAACTCTCTGCCTCCCAGCTTCATGTTCCTGCCCCCTCAAGCCATCTCCCCCCCCCCCCCCCCCCCCCCCCCCCCCCCAGCTAGAGCAGGGATAGAAGCCTGTCCTGGCTCACCAGCCTTGTAAAGGTAACTCACAGCTGTAGCTCCTACTCAGGCCGGAGCTCACCAGCCCTCTGGAGGCAGGTCACAGCTGTGCAAATGGGGGGCAGTCAGAGAAAGGTTTTAGCCTTAAGGTGTGACTGCTCCAAACTCAAGCTAGCACTAACACCACTCAACATTTGAGCAGCTCAAAGTGCATTGTGTAACAAGGCCCTTTGTGCGAGTTTGAGTTTGGAGCAGTCATACAATTAGGTCAGTAGGGGCCTGAAGGACTAAAAGATAAAAAGCCTGCCTGCCTACACTCCATTGCCATTGCTGCTGGGCTGCTGCTCTTATGAAGGTCGTGTCTGGCCCAGTTATGTTGAGCCCAGTTAACACTTTCCTGCCTGCTCCCCTGGAAGTAAATAGCAGGGAGGGAGCAGTGAGTGGGGGTCTGGGGTGCTGGGGAGGGTAGGAAGCAGGGCAGTGGGTCTGGTTTAGGCAGCATGGTGGGGGGCAGGCAAGGTGTTTACGCTAAGGTGTAACCTAGAGTAGTTACACCTTCATGTAAAACAAGCTGGGTAACATGGATCAGGGATAATCCTGCCCTTGAGTGGTGTAACTTTGAGATGCCTAACATGTGCTTAAATCTAATTTCAGGAGTTAGTGTGTGGACAATCCAAGGGCTAAGAGCTCCAGGAACCACCCAAATTACTGTGTAACAAGGACCTTAGATAACTTACAATTGAAGACTGAGTTTTCCCATGTGTAAAATGGGAGTATAGATAATTACATGGTACTAAATGATTAGGATCTGAAGCCTCAGAAGGAAACTACTACAGTACCTTAGTTTTAGAAAGTGTGGGCTACCCTGGGTAAATGACAGCATACTTCAGCTTCTTGTGGCATCCTGGCACATTTTTGCTTTTAGATTGGATTCTTCCCATGGGAGAAAGGGAAGCTTGAGGCCTTTTCAGAAGCTTAAGCTATGTTTTAAAAACAGCTATATCTCTGGCGTTTTTGTGCTCAAAACTCTCTTTTAAGCTCCCTAAATGGAGTTACTGTTACTATGACTACAGTAAATCTTTAAATGGGGTTAACCTGCAGATGTGTAGTTTTTAGTGACCTCCAAAGTAACTTCTAAAATGTGTCATTAAATACACAAAATCTTTTAAAGTACAAATAATGTACAAAGCCTAGTATGCAAAAGGGAGCTCTAATGATTTTGAAGAGGAAAAGGTTCACTATATTTCTGTGATCTCAGGAGCAGATGAATGAGAGGAAGATTACTATACATACCATTGTTTTGTCACAACCTTCTGATCAGTGCTTTGATAAGTGTGTCACATTCTGATGAAATCCTGTACAACTTCTTTCACCAGTCCTGTCCTTCCTCTTACAATTGAGATTTGCAGCAAAGATACTAGATCTGCCATTCATCACAGAACCTTTCAAGGTGGAAAATATATTTATATGGCTGTCAGCAAGCAGATCTTATTATACTCAATCTGTTGAACCCGAGATCAGCGATAAGAAATTCTGATAAATATAACTCCTGATTGATGCCAAACAGTAGAACAAGGCTCTTTTCATGATTAACAACTGTAGGTGCCATAATGCTCTTTAAAATAATTTTACTTAAAGAATTAATATGTTGTGTTTAGTTCCTTCTTAATTTGAATAAAAATGGAAGGTGTACCAGCTGTACAGAGGCCATCAGCGAACATTCCTTTATTGCATTTGAAAAGCAGAATGCATCAAAATGTTTTCCTGTTACGCAGAATGTAACATTTATAATAAACATACTCCTTTAAACTCAATCATCTGATAGTCCTTTGTTACTGAATTGACAAAGAGGAGAAAAATTGTAGGAACTGATAGGAAAAAGAAGTTGTAAGTTATTTCCCCTTGCAAGAACAGACTTATTTTTGTTGTCTCTAGTAATGGGCCAACGTTAACAATACTTAGTGCAGATGCCACCATTCAGTAAATAAAGAGATAATCAAAAAAGAAATTAAAAATAATTTCTGATGTCTGTGGCGGCAAACATTTTTGGATGCCTACTTTAAGTATCTACAGAAATAGAGATGACAATATTTGTTCTTGAAATCATTTCTGCTTTATGGAACAATTTTCTGCTTAGTGGGGTTATGTTTTAGCTAAGAAAAAGGTTTTTATTCAGTGATACCATATGAGAAAAATTGGCTGGTTGGACTTCTAGAATTAATGTAATTAGCTCATTTTAATGCTGTCAGACTAGCTTTAGGAATTAATATGAAACTCCGGTGACAGCGTAATACAGCTTAATTTAAAATCTGTTTCAAGAAATAATGAATCAGTTTCGGAGAATAGTTTCTATCAATTACAGAAAGTCATGCTGTGGAGACACTGCATGGTGAATAACTTAAAACTTTAAGGCAGAAGGCCAATCATGGACTGAGAAAAAATTAAGATGTTTAGGTAAATTATGTTTAAGATGAGCTTACAAGGCAGTTGCAAGTAAAAGAAATATAGGAACTGCAGGAGGAAGAGAACTGTAAGGAAGCCTGTCACAGTTACTAGTGGCTGCTGATGAGAAGATTTTTATACTACCAGTGACAGGGTTGTGATACGGATGGAAAGGTAAGTGTTAGGTTAGTCTGGGGGCTCAAGAAACTACAGCAAGTCCATGGAGAGATCCAGAAACAAAGTAAGCTTTGTTGATCTGTGCTCTGAAAAAACGTTGGCTGGGAAACAATAGGAATTAAAGATAGAGTTGGGTTTAGGTCATAAATAAGGTTACGTTCCTTACCTTAATTCTACCACTATTATTTTCACTTGTCCTGTGGGATCTTATCCTCAGCTGATATAATTCAGCATAGTTCCATTGACTTATTTGGAGTAACATAGCTGAAAAACTGGTGCATTATGTTTTAAAACATAATGCATACAGTCTGGAGGGCAGAGGTCATCTCTCTCTCTCATTCAGTAGAAAGGTACATGCTTTTTGGTGCTGAGGCAAAAACTGCATGTAGAAGATGGAAGATAATAGCTTTTTGCAGGTTCTAATATCTGAGAAGCTAGACCTTATAGAGGTGACAGAAGAGTGAGTTATAGTGTAAACTGAGGGAAGACAGAGCCATGGATAAGGGTTAGGATTTCAGCAAAGGTAGAGTTGATGTCGGGGCATATTAGGCAATGGTAAAGAGGTGGTGACAGGCAAATTGCACATGAGATACATGAGAGAATGAGGAGGTCAGGATGAGGGACAAACCTAGAGGTCCTTGGATATCATCAGGTTTATCCAGGTTATCTTTATTTTAATCTTTCTAATGCATAGCAAGGTTGTGGTCAATATTTTATTTTTTGACATTGACAGAGACGCACGTGTCCTTGTTGGAGCAGGACTACTACTTCTATTCAGTTTGACCTTTAGTGGAATGAATATGCAAACACTTCAGCTAGGAGACAGAAAATTATTTAAAGAAGTGCTTATTTTTTAAGGATAACAATACTGCACAAGAATCTTTTAACAATAATCTTATGTAAAAATTGTTTCTTCAGATGATTATGTGATGCCGCTTTCTGTGTTGGACATACTTGTTTCCCTATCTGTTTCCCTTTCTTGCCTTGCTTTGGTAGAGACCTCAATCTTTCGACTTTCTTTTTTTAATAAAGAGTTTTCGAAAGACACAGTTATCCTAACTCAAGTCTTTTCCTTTTCATTTGAGGACTGTAACATATTTTCTTAAACTCCTGACAGTTTGCAAATCTCCTAACCAGAACAGCATGCTAATGAGCAGTTTCTGAGACACAAGGAACATGCCTATGATGAAAATGAAGTAATTTTCCAAGGCTGATTATTTCTCAGGGTGTTGGTTGTGTCATGTACAAAACTGGGAAGAGGTTCCAGTAGAGATTAGGTGTGCGTGATGTCCACATGGGTCTCATAGAAAGCATATGATGTAATTCAGATTGGCCTCTGATCTAGTTTTCCTCTTATATATCCCACAGACAGACTTTCCCATCTTTATTTTGCATACATTTTTGTCTCTGTTACTATATCTGCTTACATGTTCTGTCAAAGGAAGTAAATAAGAAGGAAGGAAGAAGGTGATTTTCCTTCAAGCTCAACTCTTTAATGTTTTTCTTAAGCAATGCCTGCCTTTAGCACAGCTTTAATTTTTTACTTTAACTTTCCTGACATCATCTTTTTATTGTAATCATTTTTCTTTCTTTTGATAAATTCAGACTATGAAGGTGATTGCTTTCATTTTCTGTGTCAGTTAGGCTTTTATGTGATAGGCAAAGGGTGCCTAGCCAAATTCTCGAACCAACTAGACAAACATAGTGAAACTTGTGGCGAGAAGAAGGGTATATATGTGTTAAGGTGTATATGTAGAGTCTGTAGTCTGAAGAATTGCCTTTTGGATTTCATTTTAAAGAAATCACTTTCATATGTCAAACAGAAACAGCGTGTGATCAGAAACAAATATTTCCACCAAACTTGTGATGCAATGTTACATCTGTGAAATATTTTAGTGCATCAATCTTGAGGATATGGCTGAACATGACAAACTTGTTGGGTTTTTTAAAAGGATGTTTTTGACTACCATTCTATCCAGCTCTTGATTTCCCTCATCCCAAATGTCCTATGGGATTAGACTGAAATTAGAGGATGGAAAGGGTAGCACTAGCAGTCTAGTGCTCATCCTTATACAATTTAAATTTTCTTATAAAATACAAATTTTTAAAACTGAAGGTTGTGAAGAAAAACTTAATGTAAATCAGGTGTTCTCTCCTTCAGTCTGCAGGACTGTCCAAAACAATAGCTTTGAGAGATGTTACTGCCCATGACATAACTGTTCCATGACATAAAAGCCCTTAAGTCATCTGATGACCAGAGTTGCAGCATAGAAGTTTGCAAAGAATATTTGTTATATCATCTAGTCTTATGGTTCTCAACCAGTTTTTTTGTACTAGGTCCCATTTGTAAACATCAATGGCCAGTCCCATCCCAGTGCCCCTCACTCCCAACCTACTGCCCCCCACCCCCAGGCCCCAGCTCCCTAGTGTGTGGGGCAGGGGTTTGTGTGTGGGGGTAATGGGGGGTCCCAAGCAGCCCCTTACAGGCAGGAACTCTGCCAGCCTGCAAGGGAAAAGGCACAGCTTCCTACATTTTTCTTCTTTAAAGGAAAATCCATTTTTAAAGTTTCTTCACGACCCTTTGATATATTTTTGTGACCCACTTTTGGGTTGCGACCCATGGGTTGAGAAATGCTGATCTAGTCCTAGGGTGCATTGCTTCATCTCTTTAAACTTCCCTGGAAAACAACATAAGGAAACCCCTACCCCAGCACAGATCTGAACCTCAGGTTCATTCTCCCTACCCAGCAGCATGAAGCATGGGAGAAATTCCTTCCCACCTCCAACCAACAATGTGAGCAAAGAGCAGGTGAGCAGAGATACCTCTGCCCTGGTGGAGCACAGCCTGGGATTCCCTTGACTTCCCTCCACATGTGCAGTGAGCAGGAGACACCCTACCTGGGTCATACTATAGCCTGGGGTCTCCAGAGCAGCAGCAAGCATGGTGGGGGTGGGGAGAGGAGGTGGGATTTTCCCACCCCTGCCCATGCTTGCTGCTGCCCAGGAGACCCCAGGCTGTCCCCCCGTCCCTTCATGTGTGGTGGAAAGTGTGTGTGTGTTGGGGATATCCCCACCACCCCAGACTGCTGCTGTCTGATAGATCCTGGGGGGGTCTTAGAGAATGACTCCTTAGTAGAGGCATTGAATTCCATCATTGGTGCTGCTGACCACAGAGAGCTTTCCCAGCTGGTCAGCAGGAGTGGCACAGGCTGTTATGCCTTTTTTCCTTCTCATGACATCCTGCCCTATGCAAGTGTAGTCATGCATACGACTTAAAGTCTTTATCATGGAAGAAAAGCTATGCTGCAATTGGAACAATGTCTTGATCCACCATTAGATTCTGGGAATCAGTCTGGAAGGGAGTGAGATGTTTGGTTACACCTGCATGAAAGCTTCATTTTACATATACTGTATGTAGTTTATGTCTCCCTAACCTCCTTTCACCGTAGGTAAACTTCATTGGGAAAACTGAACTGGGGTCTGTTGTGAGCTGTGTGCCAGACTTTCATCTATTTTGCTATTCACTACAATAGAAGCAGCACCAAACGCTCTTTAAAGCCAAATACTTGGAGGTGTACAGTACCCATAAATCCCATTACCCAAAGGATATCATGGGTGCTCAGAGTCAGAACTTTAATTCTGCCCTAGACCCTGTAACTGTCATCTTCACTGCACAATGATGTCTGAATTTAACTACAAGTTGGAAATGAAAATAATGGTTTAATCGATATCTTTGCTGTTGCAGATTGACCAACTGAAACAGGAACTTTCAAAGAAAGAATCAGAACTTCTTGCCTTACAAACTAAGCTTGAAACCCTTAGCAATCAGAATTCAGATTGCAAGCAACACATTGAAGTGCTTAAAGAGTCGCTTACTGCCAAAGAACAGAGAGCTGCCATACTTCAGACAGAGGTAAAGTATTTTTGCATCATACAATTCAATATAAATGTTTAGTTAATGGTGTGTGTCAGGGTTAAAATGATGTATATGCAGACGATACATCCAAGTCTTTGTTCACTTTGCTAAAAAACAGTGAAATAGCTTAAACCCCTGCCATGTGCTAATACGTTCAACATATTTTCCTTTTTAGAGTGTGCCAAAATGTATCCTGTAGTTCTTGAAAAGCACCTAGGGATGAATTTTTAAAGGTATTTAGGTGCCTGATTCCCATTGATTTCAGTGGGAAATAGGCAGTAAATAGCTTTGAGGTTCTGGGCTCTACTCACTTCATTTGTAGTCATGCCTGTGTTAGGGTATCAGGATTAGAGCCAAGTGTAGAATTTACAGCATCAAATGTATGCCTCAGTTGCTCAGATTTTCCTTTTCTTCGGTGCATTATTATATATGGCAATTCTTATTTTTTATTAATATTTTCACTCCTAATTTCAAGTCTTCCTCAGCTAGTTTGCTGAATCTTTATTCTGTTTGTTCAGACCTAATGCTCATTCATGTACTTCATATTATAGATTTTAAATCCACACAGTGAAATTTACTACTTTATTTACTCAAATACAATATGAGTTTTTTCCCCCCAATTAGCCTGGGGGGAAAAGCCCTTCACCTTACATTCATATACAAGGAAACTGCATTAAATATATTATCTATCTTTGAACTGCTGCTAAAAGCAGAATGTGATGAGTAATGGAAACCAACTATGAAGTTGATCAATGTAGCCAGCACTGACCGTGGCTGTTAAGTACTTGGCCCATATTGGGCAAACAGGCTGATGGGAACCTCCCACAAGGGTTTGTTGGTGCAACCTACCCGAATAAGATATATCGTAGTACCCATTGAGCACAGACCCCTTTAGCACTGGCTCGTTTTCAAATCATGGTTAATCCACTACATTGCATACATTTTGACTTCCTCTTCACTCCCGCAGCTGAGCTGCACCTTTCTTTCTCATTTCCAATGATTTCTTTACCAGCCTTAAATTCCTGGCAAACATCACCAAACGGGGCCCCAAACAGTTCACCCAGAATCCCTCTGCCCCCTCTCATAGCCTGGCAGATATGCTTAGTGCGGTCCCACCCTCCATGAGATGAAGCCAGACTAGGTTGCCCTATGCTTCATCTGCATATACATTTTTGAAGGATCCCAGGATTCGTAACAAGAACACCAAGTTTCAGTCATGAGTGGGGGCTGATTAGCACATGGACCCTTTGTGGGGGTTATCTGAAGTACACACACATACTGAGCAGTACTGAGCTGTGGGGTCACCATGACCTGAAATGCCGTTGGCTCTTCTGGGGCCAGTGATCTATATAATAAATCATGAGTCTTTTGGTTTTCAACTAATATGCATAGTTTATACTCTATATAAACCAGTGCCAAAGTGGTGCTTAAAGGGTCTGTTTATAGAGTACCTGTGCTAAAACTTGCTGCAGTTTCAAAAAAGGTAAAATATATCAGTTCTGGATGAACTAAGTCTGTGGGTACTGTTTACAAATGTTACTGCTATGTTTTTTTCAAGGTAGTTTTTTTCCAAATTTGCTCTTCATTTTCATGTGCTCAGGGAGAGCAGGGTCTGACAGTAAGGAAGGGGGGGGAGAGTGCTGCAGGGGGAAGAAGTTGTGAGGGGTAGACAGCAAAGGGACTACCTGGCCCCTCAGATTGATTTTTCCCTGCTCAGGTGTGGGTTTCAAGACACACCTCCAATGATTAGATTCTATGCCTGGAAATTATACCAAAATTATATTTTTCCATATAGAGAATCTAATTATTAAGGGGTCTTCTTATATTCAGGGTCATTTTATATTTGAGTAAATGTGGTAGGGTGTTCTGAAATGTTTTGGGCAGAGTTTCAGTATATTGATCTGATTTAAAATATGAGTAGAATGTTAATCATTGACGTGGGCCAGTATACTTGGATTTTTTATGAACAGCGTTTTAAGGACAGATCTTGAAAATGTGCAAGTTGCAGCACTTGATACTTAACTGCGGTACTTAACTGCGGTTTATATAGTTGACAATGTTTTCAAATGTGAAGGAATAAATCTTTCCAACATTAAAAGTTGGTTTCTCCAAGCTAATTTTACATGCTGTTTTTAAGTCGGTACACATTAAATGTAAAAAGTGGTTAAAATTATTGCTATTATAACTTTTTATGTGTAATTTTTAATTAGCATACACATCAAAGAAACACAATTAGCACTTCAGTTAGACCATGGAAAGTATTTTAGGGATAATGTTGCATTCAGAAAAGTATACTAGCTACATGTATTAGATTTGCATAAAGTGCTTTACAATTTAGTTCTATTTAAAGGAATTCTGTGAGGAAGGCAGAGTCTGCTTTAGTCCATTATCTTCATGGTGAGGGAAGGAAGGTTGGTATTAACCATAGAGAAAAAAATAAATGTTCTAAGATTCTTGGCATTCTACAAGACACCTGCTCCATCCTCTTATTCAGTCAAAAATCTCCAGATTTCAATTATATCTTTAGTGGTCCAATAGAACAACAGACAAAACATACGTATAGAATTGTGATAACTGAGGAAGATAATAAAATGTAGTAGATCTTATCTTTAACTTTGGAGTAATATAGCTGATATGCCTTATCAAGTTAGGTATCATCTGCCATAGTTTTGGTGACAATGAATTTCCATCAGTTTTATATTATTTTGATTTCCTAATTCTTTATCAGTCTAACACACTCCAGTTTTTATTTTTGGCAGATAGACTTTTGGTGAAGTTGCATGTTATGCTTAGATCATACTAAGGGTACTCAAAGTGCAAGCACATTAAAACTTGTTAACTCATGCTAAGTGCCTTCTAAGTGACTCAGTGATACCACTTCAGGAGTGGGTTAACTCTGGGCTGTACTACATAGCTCATGTTAGGGTAACTTCAGTCTGTTCCACAGAGAAAACAAGCAATTTGTAATCCTCCAGCATACACCATACCTAGTCCCTGTGTTCTGGGAAGGAATAGAGCCCAGGAACACCTATACATGTGCACAGTGCCTGCTCCAACACATTCTAATTAGAATGTATTAAAATTACGGGCCGACGAAAGGTAAAGCGCTGTTCGACCTGGTACTGGCAACCGGGGATGACCTAATCAGCAATCGAAGGGAAGCTGGGTGACAGTGACCACGAGCTGATCACCTTCACTATCCGCCGTAAAGCTGGCAAGCCAGTCAGTAATGCAGAAGTCCTCGACTTCATGAAAGCTGACTTTGACAAGCTAAGGAGGCTTGTCAGTGAGGCCTTAAAGGGCCACAACCCAAAGGGGAGGGGAGCTCAGGATGGGTGGTTGCTCCTTAAGGGAGCAATCCTGGATGCGCAAGCAAAGTCTATCCTGTCTTGGAGGAAAGGCAGCAAAAGATCACAGCAGCCCCCTTGGCTCTCCAGGGAACTAGCGGACCTCCTGCATCTTAAAAGGAAGACCTACAAAGGATGAAGGACTGAAACCACCACCAAGAAGGGATACTCTGTTCTGGTCCGGACCTGCAGAGAGCAAACCAGGAAAGCCAAGGTTGCGACGGAACTCCAACTAGCTACAAATATCACGGACAATAAAAAGTCCTTTTTTAGATATGTAGGGAGCAGGAGGAAAAACAAAGGCAACATTGGACACCTGCTAAACCAGATGGGACAACTGATGACCGACGCCTAGGAAAAAGCAAATTTGCTAAATGGGTACTTTGCACCAGTTTTTCACCAGACCCATGGGATGCCCCTGCCCACTGCAGGACAGGGATGCCTGGGTGAGGGAGATTCCTTACCCTCCATAAAAGCTGATCTTGTGAAGGAACACCTTGAGAGGCTGGATACCTTCAAGTCAGCTGGCCCTAACAGTTTACACCCCAGGGTATTCAAGGAGCTGGCTAGCATCATAGCTCAGCCTCTGGCATGGATCTGTGAGAACTCCTGGTGCTCTGGTGAAGTGCCCGAAGACTGGAAGAAGGCCAATGTGGTGCCTGTCTTCAAGAAAGGGAGGAAAGTGGATCTGGCAAACTACAGGTCCATCAGCCTGACCTCTATCCTGGGGAAGGTCTTGGAAAAGATTATCAAAGAGGCCATCCTTAACAGACTAGCTGAGGGCAATATCCTGAGGGATACCCAGCATGGGTTTGTTGCGGGTAGGTCTTGCTTGACCAATCTCATTTCCTTTTA